AAAGTCATAATTAGACATATTTTTATCTAAATAACATATAGATAATAATACAACATATCTTAAAATATTTAGTTTTACTCACTTTTTTAGCAGATCGATTTGATTTTTTCGACGGCAAAATATGTGGAATAGTTTCTAAATATTCATCAGCGTTTTTAACATGGTCTGCAATAGATGAAATATCTGCTCCCTAATATTCATAAATCAAAATATGAAAATTTTTCAAAAAACTATCATACTTGTCTATTAATTAAATCAGCTAAATCAATAAATAAAGCATGTAATTCTCGAATACTATCTTCACATTTCATAATATCTAAATGACGTGCTTCCATATCATATAATGTTTGTTTTTCTTTTTCTAATTGAACTCTAATCTATAATTAATAGAAAAATAAAATTTTTAAATATTTCTTTTATCTTAAATTTATACTTCTGGATACAAAAATGAATGTCCATTTTCGAGAAGTTTATCTATTTCGTCATCAGTATTTTCAAATCCAGCTAATAAAATAGAAAAAAAAATGAATGAATGAATGAATTAAGAAAAGAAATTTTTTAAACCAATTTGCATTTGACGTGCAATTCTTGTTCGACATTGTTCTTGATAAGTAACAACTGATTTATAATATTTATTCATTTCATCACAAAATCGTTCAGTTAGAATATCTGTATGAATTTCAATAATACGTTGACGAGCATTCTTTTCATCAGTATTAGTATCCATTCCTTGCATTTTTCTCATTTCTTAAACAAGAGAACTAATTTTTCTTTATACGAGTTGTTTTTTACCGTTTAAATTTTTTCGTATAGTGTTTCCTAATTGTCGAATTTCCAGAATTTTTTCTTCAAGTTTATTTCTACTTTCTAAAAATTATTCGAATGAAAATAATTTCAAAAAACTATATATAGTTTACGTATATCTGGTAATGGTGCTAACATAGCATTTTGTAAAGATTGAATAATATTAATAAGTTCAGCTAATTTATCAATAGCATTTCCAAGAAAATTAACCTAATTAAATAAACTAATTTTGTTAAAACAATTTTTTCTTACTTTATAAAAAACATCATTCATAGATTCACCATCCATATCAATCACAGCAAAATGTTTCGCAATGTTAAGATCTTCATCATTATCATACTTTTCAACCTAAAATGGAAAATAAACAATATTGAAAGGATAATTAACAACTAAAACTCACATTTTCTCGCAATTCTTCAAGTCTATCTTTCATTATTTTATATATGAAGAATTCAAATGTATATTTCTTTTGTCAAATAAAAAAAAATTATAGTAATATGACTAAAGTGTAACAACAATAAATAGTACGTGACTTCTTTATCTATTCATAATAGAGAATTGTCATTGGTGTTCGTAACTTCTATTATTGCATATATTTGCAAATGCCAATATTATATATAACTCATGATTTATATCTGAGCTAATATACATATCAATGTGTGTGACGTGATTCAGTATACTGACTTGTGAAGTACTGTTAATTTATATAATGAATCATTGGTACCTCATCGATTTATTTTATTGATAAAAATGAATCGATGTTTTAAACAAGAATGATATTAATATACACGACATATGTCTTTGTTGACATGATTGCTTGTGTTATTAAACAAATAAATAATCATTCACTAACAACGTCATAGAAATAAGATTACTAATATTTCTCTTTTAAATACAACTTTTTAATAAATATGCCAACCTTATTAAATGAAATTAATCATCTATATAATAATACCAATGAATCATATGGTAAAGAGTTTTGTTTTCTAAGTTATATGACGAAGTATTTTAATTATTATACAGCAAGTTCTGCGTTACATATTAAATGCTATGCTGATAAAATAATAAAAAATGACTGAACGATGAAAATCACACAAAAACAGCAAATAATTAAGATGTTTATTTCAATTAAAAATATCATTGGTCTTAGAAATTAAAAATTTAGTATTTTGAATAGTACAAATAACGTTTACAACAGACATTTTCTTTATATACAAAAACTGTCGAGCTATAAGTATGAATTAATTCTGATTTTTTCTGTTACGCATATATAGAAGATAAGGTAGTTCGAATTGTTATATATCAATCTGTTATAAATTTAAAGATATACGAAACAAAGACATACAATGGATTGATGATTACGTATAAAGAGATCAATTTTACATGTTAAAATGTTTATATCTTACTTTGATTTTTATAATTATTTACTTTTCTAGTATGTTAAAGACAATCATTTGTTATTGTGACAAAATATCAACTATACATGATCTAACTGATTTAATAATACAGAATTGTTACTTACAACCACGATAGTAATTGATACAGTATTGATGAATAATAGCGAAGCATCAACATGTCAATGGAGTTGCTACTCACATCTGACAATTATTTCGTCTTATAGTTTACAATAAAATGTTGATGTTTGACTTTTATCACTACCAAACAAAGCACTGGTAGAATATACATATGAACTTTGTTGGAATATTCAAAGATTAATATATATAATAATATAAGGAAGTCTTACAGTGTACATCAATATCGAAAGTTAGTATTACATCGAAGAGACTAATTTTTATTTTAATTAAATTCAACGATGTTGATATATCAATTTATAAAGCTGATCCTCTTTGAGCGAAATATATAGACAAAAAAACGCACACGTGATATACTTTATAATAAGTATATCCTACATATATTTGCTAGATAGAAGAATGTATAAATATTCTTTTTTTTTATTATTATCAAAAATTAAATTATTTTAAAGATCAAGATAAAACTCCTTACGTAATTTTATTGCTTCTCTTAGTCTTTCTTTGCCAATATCAGATAAATCACAATTAGATAAACACACCGTTCTCAATGTTTGATTATATTCCAACATATTAATAATGCTATCTACACTTAATTCAGTTATTAGTTTATTCCATGTAAGAGATAATACATGAAGAGTCCTATTATGATGTGCAAGTACATCTGCTAAGTATTGCATACCACGATCGGTAATTTGATTAGAACCTAACCAAAGTTGTGTTAATGAATGATTAGTTTTAAGCATTTCAGCAAGATATTGTACACCTTCATCTGTAATCTCATTTGAAGTAAGAGCAAGTCTATTTAATTTTGTTTTACTATCAGATAATATTTGACTTAAATGTGATATATTAACATCAGTAATACCATTGTGACAAAGAGATAAACCTTCTAATGTTATATTATTATGTAATGTTGAAGCGAGAATTGATACACTTTGTGATGTTAATTGATTATCATTTAACCAGAGCATTGTACATTGTTTATTAATGATTGCTTCTTGAATAATAAATTCCATATCTAAATCTGTTATTTTTTGTTTTCGTAAATCAATTCTTGAACAAGATTTACAACTGTTAATTTCTTCTTCTAATTTTCGATTTCGATATATAACCATATTTGTTTCTTTCTTCTTCTTCTTTTATCGAATGCCAAATAATCAATGTGTAATCAATGGTTTTGTGTTACCTCTTTTTTTTGTATTTTAGAAATGTGGAGGAATATTATAGTCACTCAAAATTTTTATCTTATCTAATGATAACACTATAATATAATAATGGTAACGAATAATATCATTTATTTTGTCATATTTTTTTTTACGAAGAATAGAATTAAAACCAATATAAATGATTTGTTAAATTGAAAATAAAGTATATGTAGCTTGAACGGTAATTATGAAAATAATAGTTTATTGTCAAATCGAATTGCGATCGTCGTAATAAAACGTATGAAGAAATTAGTATATAACTGAATGATATTACTTACTCTTAATTCATATTTGTGTATGATTTTATAGATTGTCTAATCCTGATATTATTTGTCTACTTCCTTTTTTTTCTGTGCAGAACGAAAGAATGCATGACATCAAGATGAATTGGTTTTGAATGAAGTTATTTCGTAGTATAACTTGAGAGTTTTGTTTTATTTTATCTAATCTTTTCCTCAATAAAACAGACACACACACACAATGAGAACAACACATTTTTTATGATGAAAAATAGGGTTTATAATGTTTTTGCATGAATTTATATTTTTATACAAGAAATTCAAATATGATGATATGAAGTTTTAAAGAGAAGCCAATTTTAATGTTTTGAATTAATGATAAGGTTAAATGGAATAAATACTTATTAATTCTCTTTATCTTGATATGTTTGTTCGAGAGCTGCTGTAATTATCTCCATTTCATCTTCAAAAGATCGACGCTGGGATACATTTAAAGTAGTTGTTACTTCTTTCATATCCGAAGCTTCAGTTTTAAATAATTTACTTATAGGTGGAACAACGATATCTTCAAGTGACTCTATCAGACAAGATCTGGTTACCGATGGTAAAAAACGTGCATAAGAATAGATAACTTCTGTAGAATCGTAGTGAAGAATGAAAATTGTCAATATTTCAATGATCATTGGTTTCACAGGAAAGTACCATAACCATTTGATAATGAATTTATCATTGATTTTTTTCTCTGTTTCAATGTACTGCAATATTCATGTTTACTAGTATTTATGTTCATGATTACTACCATTTAAGTCTCGAAAAGTAAGTGTCTACTGGTAAAAACTGGATCCTAACGCTTATTATGAGACTTTTCGATTGTTTTTTTCTTTATTGAAACACTCTTGTTTGTTGAAGATATTGCGTAGACAATTTATATATTCAAAAATTCAATCAAATCTAAGCCTCTGATTTAAATGTCAAGTATTTTTTATTAAATCTTAAGTAGAAAAAAACTTGATTTTCTAAGTGAAAATTTAAATATTTCCAAATAAATAAATTAATTATGTTGAGCAAAGAACCTAATGAATCAGTTATTGTATTAATAAAGCTTTTGTTGCTTTTTATGGTAGTTCTCGTTTTCTTTTCTCATCGAAAGGTATATTGTGTACTGCTGAAGGGTGTGTAAGTTATCACAATACTCACACCCACACCCTCTTCTTCTTTTTTCGTTTATCCCCATGCTTGTGTTAATGCATAATGTAAAACAAGCATTCCATCACTACCGAAACAATTACTAACTAATCCAATTGTTGAATCAAGTGATGGTGCAAATGATTGTTTAACATAAAGAAACAATTGCTGTTGAGGATCAAGTTTCATATGGTCTTTTAAAAACATTACAATATCACTTACAGTACTTGAATTTGGTAATGCCCATCTTTCTCTCTTTAACATTGGCGCACCACCAGCTGGTTTAAGAAGAAGAACAACTTTTGAACCGCCTTCAGAATAATCATTTGGACCAAAACGTTTCGTACTAAGATTTAAAGAATTTTCCAATGATTCGTTTTCATTGTCCTCAACTCTTGACATTATTTATATAATCTAAAAAAAAATATGTCAATTCTTACAAAATAAGATACTAATCATTAGAAAAGAACGTTTAAAAAATATTTTAAAACGAGAGAAAAAATAATGATGTATGTGTATTGTATTTGTGAACTGTATGTCAGAACAACCGTAGAAAAAAGAAATTCAAAACATCAATAGATCATACTATAATACCATTTGTATTTTATCTTACTTGCACCTATACTTATTAAGTAATCATTTTTACTTATCTAATTTATTTTATATTTTATAGATTCAATTAATAAACTTAGTAAATAAATTCTACTCAAAATCTTAAACTAAAGAAATCTACCGATGAGTAATACAAAGTAAATTATATGATGCTTCTCTGTTTAATTTTTTTCTATTCAAAAAGAAAAGATAAAACATTTGTTATCTAATATAGAATACGTCGTATTTCACATACTTTTTTGCATTTTACAATTCTATATAGTCTTGCGTAATTTCAGCGAAGAAAATGTTAAAAAAAATAGTAGGTAGCAGCGAGTAGTTTCGATCTACCGACCTCTGAGTTATGAGCCCAGCACGCTTCCACTGCGCCACGCTGCTGATAAATAATCACCTTTTTATTAAATTTAATCTGTTCATAAACAACTAAAAAAAGCATGTCTAATGTTTTGTCTCTTTTGATACCAAAAAAAAAAGAAAAATATATTTATATCAGTTAAAGGTTGTATGTCTTTGTATCAAAGAAAAAGAATATATCACGTCATTCTTACCTGAAAATAAAAACTAAATGTTATACATATAAAAAAAAATAATACTCCGCGGCGGGGAATCGAACCCCGGTTTCCCGCGTGACAGGCGGGGATACTAACCACTATACTACCGCGGACAATATAGATTTATCAAAGACATTATCATAATCTAAACTTTAATAAAAAAAACATTAATAGTACTTGTCATGTATCTATATAATGCTATTTCTTTAACATATAAAACGATATCATACTGATTCATTACCAAAAAGGTTTTCGAAATAATTTTTCTAATTACAACTTAAATATATTCATGATCTAATGATAAGTATATTTTTTTAATAGTACTCAGTTTCTATATAAGAATATAATTATTTTATTTTGTTTCTTTTCTTTTCTGTTGTATTTTTGATTTAGTTTCTTTACGTACACAATGATAACGCGTCCCGTGGTCTGAGTACTGATATTTATCATTGTGCATCTTTTAGACAAGACTAATAAAATAAAAATGGTTCGGTCTTATCTACCAATTCTTGTTTCATTAATTTTTTTTTTTATTTCTCTTTACGTTAATTCACTTGTTCAAGTATGGGCCGATCGAAATTCTCCAGGTTGGATACCTGCTTTACCTGATATTGGTCATCGTCTATTACCCTATTGGACTTATTTTCAAATAAATAATTATTATCTTTTAACATCATTTGTCTTAGTTATTATTCGTTATATATTTCAACGTGATATACGTTTAATTGTTTTTCGTCGATGGCTTTTTATTCAAGCTATTTTATTTTTTATGAGAAGTATATCAATATATGTTACATCATTAAGTGTTCCATTACCTGGTTGCAATACAACAGCAACAGGTTCACCACCTGTCGAAGCATTTTATATAATGTTTTTAATTCATGAAACATGTGGTGATGTTCTTTTTTCTGGGCATACTGTAACATGTAATTATAGATAATTAAAGATTTTTAAAAAACTAATTTCAATTTATTTTTAGTAACATTATGTGCACTCGCTTGGACAACTTATTCTAAAGGTGAAGAATATTATCCGGTACGTTGGTTATGGAATAGGTATAAGAAAAATAATCAAGAAATAAAACGTGGTAAACCTGGTTGGTTTTATCCAAAGGTAGATGCAAATGGTGATCCATTATCATTTTATTTAACAACAATTCTTGTTTGGATTTGTACAATAATCGGTTATTTATTTATAATTGCTACACGATTTCATTATACAGTTGATGTTTTTCTTGGTTTTCTTCTTTCACAATTAACATGGAAAACATATCATTATTATATAAAAACATTAGCAGAACGTCGAAGTATTATAATAACTAGATTTTTTCTTTGGTTTGAAGGATACGGACGACCATCATTAACTGCTCCTGTAAGTTTACTTACTGGACCAACAACTGTTAACGAAGGTACAACAGACGATATAGAAAATTCTAGTCAAGTTGTACATCCAGGTGATGCTAGTACTGTTTAAACATTTTTTTTCTACAGATTTATTGTGTATGATATACAGAATATTTTATAATTTTTTAAAAACTAGATTATATCAGTAAGAAATTTTATTAGTCACGTATAACGAGACGTGCAAGAACAATAACATGACCTTCAATTTAAACTAAAGGTCAAAAATAAAATAATCAATAACTAATTTCAAAACAGTTATATTATATAAGATTTGTAAAGTAGCACCCTCTACCATTCACTTTGATCGATGGATTATTATATAACACCAATTCTATTCTCTATCTTCTTCTTTATATTTAAAAGTCTAACATTCGAATACAATGAAACAAAGGAGAACAAAACAATATTTATGTTAATCTCTTATTTTTACTTTCGAAATTCAAAAATTGATT